AAACATCCACATGCACACACACACACACACCTACACGCGCACACACAACATAAGTTACTGTGTCAGTGTGTCACATGGGAGGATTAAACCCTCATGTCAGAGACAGCTTATGTGCCAACCATGCTTACTGACAATAAAAATATATTACCACGGTGTTATTATCTATTGTAACTCAGTCAACAAGCCCCGGACTGTGTTTTGCTGTGCTGGGGAATAAATCTAATCACGATTTAGTGCAATCATGACGTTTACCGTAAGGGGAGGGGGGTCAGGGCTGGGGAAGCAATTGAATACGCGTGCAGCTTGATTGACACCTTTGACGTCCAATCACTGCTATTTTTATTGCGACAATTCTGCTGTTTAGACCCTGACATTAGAGTTGGTAGTACTGACAAATATGTCGGCCTCTGGGAATCTCTTGGCCACCAATATTATGGGTTTAAAATAGAAGATCACATACTTGTTTGGGTATTATATTCACTTGTTTTTATTCTCCTTAACTTCCGTATTGGTGGAGCGGCCTGCAAGACAGATACTAGCTATTTCAAAGAAGTAAAAAACAAGCATCTTCCACCTCTAGCTAACAGTTAACGTTAGTCCAGCTAGCTGCGTGTAGTAGAATAACGGCAGACGTATCCGTGTCTGGCAAACCAGCCTAACGTTAACGTTTTCTGTAGCTTGGTGCCGGGGTAGCTAGTTTGCACAGCAAGACTCGTACTGCTTTTTGGCACCGCTGAATGAGTTGTATGGATACTAATGGACGTAACGTTAAGGAGTTGTCTCAGCTGATAATTATCCCAGGAGGAAATAACACGACCAGGACCGGCACATCCCATTCACCGTTTTTGGACCCAGAAGAAGTGTAAACCCCTCACAGGTGAGGTTAATTGTTAGCCTGCTGCTAGCGAGGGCTAACCAGTGGAGACCGGAGTACCGTTAGCTTACGGCTAGCTAATATTAATGTTATTTGGACAATGAGCTCATACAGTATACTGAGCCTTACAATCACATGGACATTACTTGTCGCCTGAACCACGAATCGTCTTTGCTTTGGTGCAGCTAATGTTAGATCTTTTCCATTATCGTGCTGCTACTGAATCATTACCGTGAACGCTAACGTTAGTAATCTCCACCCTACTTTCATTTCATCAGTATGGACTCGCTAACGTTACAGTGTGCATCCTGATACAAACTGGTTACTGTTAACATAGCACCAGAATATATACTGTAGCTAATGCTTGCTCTTCATCCCAGGTCTGTAACAGTGCATCGTCCTCACTATGTGGGCTACATGTCTTTCACTTGTATGCACGGGACATTTGACCAAATTATTTCCCGAAATTATCATCAGAAATTTGGCAGGGAACGGCGGATTTATCGCTAGCAATAATCAAACCCAGATGCCACTGCATAATTATACCGTTATATGCACGATCGAAGAGGGCTTCAAGTAACGTGTATGTGATGAAAGCACATCCGCCTCACTCAATTGTGAGAATTCAATGTAGTTCGGCGTGACGCTTGTCTTAAAGTGAGTGGCACATCTCTGCCGGGCTGAATCGTGTCCTGAGCTGTCAGACCAATCGCTGCTGTGTCGTTTGACTCCCATCAATTCAGGTTGTGTGTCACCTGGCTCATCTGTCTCTAGAAAGCATCCTCTGCCTGCATTGGAGACGTCAGTAAGCAGTTCTATATAAACCAACGCTGCAAAATGTCACTAAAATGTCAATCCAAAATTGGAGACGTGTGGTCAGGAAAGGAGGTTGTTGGCATCATTTGACCGGTTTGGTGCATATACTGATGCTTTAACTGCTGTTGGTACAGAGCTGCTGACTGCAGCGGGCCTTACACACCCAGGACGCGCGCGCGCGTGTGTGTTTTCTGGCATTTGCAAGATAGAGATTCTGCCTGATGGAGTAAGGATGCACAGTTTGATGAGATCACATAGAAAGGACTAATGGTTGAATGAGGAAATACCTTCTATCTTCATGGAGCTTGAGGAAATGCAAATGGAGGTGGTGTACGTTCAGAATTCCTCTACAATGTAGGTATGAGTAAATTGAGGGCACTAATAAGGTAAATATCTCATTGTGTGTGTAGTAACACAGTGATGTGATAGGCTGTGATTTATTGAGCAGCATATCAAAGCAGATGTCTCCCTTACTGTACAGGAGTGTGTATGTTCAGTGTTGGACATCATGCCACTTGGAGGTACCAGGTCCATTAGACAGAGTTACAACCCTTCATTTTGGACTTGACATGTCATAACGTGGCCACCTGCTAACTGTTCAGGCAAATATTGGGTAATAAGCTAGGAGCGGTATTTTGTGTTGGTGTTAGTTTTTCATGGCAGGGTGCGTGTGTTTGGCAGCATACTTTATAAAAATCCCCTCCACAGTGAAACGCTGAGCTTCAAAGAGATCCCTATTCTAAAGACTGTTTGGTTTGCAAAGGCTACTAATATAAGGTCATGTTAGAAAGTGGGTAACCACAGACACTGCCTTTTCACGACGCTATGACCAAATGCTTTTGTCCAAAACTCAGTTAATCAGCAATTGTGTAATACATAACAAATACAGATTAGGTAGGCCAATACTAAAAGTAGTACAGCAAATGTAATGGAGAAAAGATGTTTGCCAGGAGACCTGCGTGACTAAATGCTAACAATGATTATTGATATTGGTTCAGTGTATGAGTCCGTTCTGCTCACTACTCGCTAGTGGTAATATACAGGTGGTGAAAAAGCTTCCGGAACATTAATGGATAACCATTTTGCAATAAATGGTCAATTCCTGTGTCTGTATGTTTTTGAATTAGGTACATTATTTATGACAAACAGATGATGATAATTGATAATTGGGCTGTAGACCTGCTTTCGGAGGAGGTTTTATTTGTTTTCCTTGACTTTATAGAGTTTGAAAAGGTTGTAACATCACCATGAACATCAATACAGGTTGAGGCAGAGAGAAGTAGTGATTTAAGAGCAATTAATGCTGATGAATTGGGCAGCAGTAACAGATAGAAGTGTAGGAAGACGGGCCTGAACAGGTGTACTCATTTGCTTATTGATTGAAGCGTTGATGTCTCAAGTCCAAGAAGTGAACAGCTGTGCACAGGGTCTTTGTCTCTGGCTGAACTGCTGAGCTGTGAGGGCTCTGTGATGACCCACAGAGAGGCCAGGAGGAGCTCTGCTGAGACACCTGAGAGCAGCACAGGGACCTGTGGGATGGTTTAGTTGAGAGGAGCTTAGTGTGTCCTACTACTTACGGTGTTTCGGTTTACTACTGGGGAGAGGACCTGATGAGTGTGGTTTTTAGGCGTCCTGTCAGATTGAGTAGACACTACTAACTTGAACAACTTATTTGGGTTTATTAAATGCTTCAAACCATAGCTTTCTAGTTGCAACTGTAGCTTGATCGATACTGAATTTTTAATACTGTAATAATAATGATTACATATTTTTTATGTGACCAAGATTCATGAGCTGGATATTTTAGTCCGTGTTCTCTGGTGACACTGTTTGTAAATGTACTGCACCTGCACTGTAACGATGACCTGATTACATTTTGGTGGTCAAAGGTCACTGTGACCTCACCCGAAACGGGCCATACCTAAAGAATTAATTTGCTAATTATAACAATTTCACACAAATATCTAACAGGGAAAAATGATGAGGTGATGACATTTATAGACATTAGTATAGTCATGAGGACTGCAGCATGAGACGTACTTATTAACTTATCGGCCGACATACTGATGCTGAGATATCCAAATCATTTGATTATGCCATCCAAAATAACACATAGGTTTGAACTATTCAAATATCTATTTCTTTGCTTATAGTGTCCATAAGAGAGCAAACTAATATCAGAGACATCATTTTCTGTATAGGTATATTTATTTCAGCATAAACATGTCTTGTGAAGACGGATGTATCTACACAAAACAAATGAAGAAGATACTGTAAAACTATAATTAGAAATATGGACCTCTCTCTACCTGTCCCGTAGTGAGGCCTTTTAGATAGAGTTCTCTGCCACCGTTACGGTTCTTGTTGAATTGTTCCTTGTGTGCCTGTACCTGTAAATACATGTTATCCCATTGGAGTATTTCATCTTTACCAAGCCCTTGTTCCTCTCCTTGCTACTGTAGGTGCATCTTGACCAACCATCAGATTGGATTCTCTTCTTTTCTTGACCCAGGACGAGCTGCTGAGGTTGATATCCACTACAGCCAGCTACTGTGTGTTATCCATGTCTACGAAGCTCTCCTAATGAACAATCCAGGAGGCCGCTGATCACCACCGAATCCTGCTTTCAAGGTTGGAGAAGAATACTTCAAACCTAGGAATCTCTGGCTTCCACACATAAAAGCCACCGTTTTTTAAGATTTTTGTTGAGGTCATTTTTCGGACGTTGCTCCGGGGAGAGGCTGTGTCCTCCAAAGGATTGCCGTGGGAGGGTTTTATCCAAGCCTCAGAGCTCTCCCCTGGGGAAGGAAGCAGAGGAAAGGCCCTGGAAGTTCCTGGAGAAGAGGCCATACTTGAAAACCGCCCGTAGCTGGAAGTCAGACGGTTACATAACTAACAGGCACGGTCGTCCACTAACACAGTGGAACCGGGGGAGGAACGGAGTTGTTCTATGTTGCCATTGCTGGCTGATGTATGAGATAATACTGCTGTCTATTCACACATAACCCCTGGCGCTTCAAATTGATACTGTAATTTTAGCTCTATTTCAAACATTTAATTTACATGGATACCAATGGATGTTCTACTGGATTTCCCCCCAGATGTTTTGGAAAGAACCACACCACCACCTGCTGCTTTTTGTCTTCCAATCACATCCCTGGTGCAGCCAGCAGGTGAGGTGGTTTGAATCAGCCACCAGCAGGGTTTAGGGATGCCCCGACACAGGAAAACCAGGCTACTCTACTGGCCCGTTTACAGACTGCTGTTTCTAATAAGAGTCCTGGACTGAAAGGAAATTGTCTCCTCCTCTAACGGAGAGCAAGGGCTCGGCACTTTTTAATTTGCAAAACCTTTTCACACATTGCTACAGCTGCCCCAACTGCTTATCTCTCGGTGCTAAAAACTTTCAATTGACGTGATCTCCACACTTTTTGCTTGCGTAGACTTAGCAACAAACACGCCCATTTCCCATTTTAGGTCTTGCCTTTTTTTTCTTTTCAAGCTTTCCGCTCCATTTTCTTTCAGCCTCTTGTAAGTTCATCTCCTACCGCCTACCTCTGCCAACTCTTGTACCTCACCAAGCTCCCATCTACAGACCGGTCAAATCAAACTGGACGAGTTCACATCAGGCACAAGGTTCATCAATTCAGCTTAGGTTCTCTGTTTGTCAGGACAAAATCATCTAACAAGTGTTTTAATGGAAGGGCCCAAATGGTGTTTTTATATCTCAATAACAGCCATGTTTTGTTAATTGCACTATCATGTTTTTCACTGAGCCTTCATTCACCTTGTTATACATAAAGCAGATGTGCTGTTTTGAGGCTGACTTTACTCGTGTGGAAACAGACCAGTAAGGTTTCTATTGGCTTGTGTTGGTAGTTGATTGACATGTTGGGGAGAACAGAGTGAAACTAGTGTTGTGTATTTACCTGCAACTCTATAAGAGAACTCTGTCCACACACTTCCTCCTCTTAACAATCTGTGGCTTATTTGTTCATCCCGCCTTCCCACCTGTTGTCAGGCAGACATGAAAAAAAGGCTTTTACAGCAGAGCGATTTATTTTAATCTCACACACACACACACACACACACACACAGTAGATCAGGATTGACCTAATAACCTAAAACGACAAGTGATCACTACTGAAGTGTTTTCCACGTGAAAGAGGAAGCCCCCCCCCCCCCCCCACACTTATCCCTCCATCTCTTTTATATCTGTCCTTTTACATAATTTTTTTTTTTTTGTTGCCAATCCATCATTTCTACCCCCAAACTACAAATCCCCACAACCCACCAGACCAAAAGAAACATTTTAACCCTGACTTCTAAATTCCACGGCATAGCAGTTGTTGAACAGCCACACACACCACTACACTAAGAAAGTGATGCCAGGTGTCGGCAGCAAGAGTGGAGGGCGGGGTCCGTCCTTGTCACCCCTCCCCCATACCGCGGTCCCGCCCACCAGACCCCTGAGACCCTCCCGCTACGTCCCGGTGTCGGCAGCCACTTTCTTCCTCGTTGGCTCCACCACGCTCTTTTTCTGCTTCACGTAAGTAGCAACAGTGCATTGTCTCACTCACATGCAGGCCTGTTTATAAGCTGCAGTGTCGAACGGGATAATAGAGAGCAGAGCCTTGTTCTGTGTACAGATTCTCTGCCCAAATGATTCTGCAGTGCGAGGTTTTATGATGGTTGAGCACTGAACCAATCATATCGGAGCAGATCCTAGTTTGGACTCTCCATTCATGTAAACCTTTTTTTAAATAAGAGTCATTCAAGATAACGTCATCCAAGGACTCATGAGACCTGAAGCTGTGTTTCTCTCACGTCTCAATTTGATGTGAGAGAAGTTTAAACAGATTTACAAAGTCACTTTGTGTTATCAGGTTTATGTACACATTCGATGAAGCTTTAGCGAGCCACTCACAAACAGGTAGCGGTATTTAATGTCCTGAGACAGGCTATGAACAGCCTGTTATACAAAAATAAACCAACAGAAAACGTGTGGACTGAACCGAGGTTGTTTCACTTGTCAACAGGTTTTTGAGATTTATCCGCCTCAGTGTGGCCTTCAGCCTCATGAGTGTCTCTGTTGTCGTTCCTAATCTCCCCTACACCTCGCTCTGGAGTGGGTTTGTGTGGGAGAAGGAAAAAGTAGTGGTGAGAGTTTGACCGTCTGGGAGGAACAACGTGTATGTGGTTTAAATGTGAGAAAGTCGGTGTGTACATGTGTGTGTGTGTGTGTGTGTTTGCATATGTGAGAAAATCTAGTGTGTGTGTGTGTGGTCAGTGGGGTGGGCTATCAGATTAGTGAGGAGGAAATAGGCCAACATCTGTCACTGACAAAAGCCCCTGATCCAGTCTCCCTGTCTCTGTTGGTGTTTGTCTCTGCAGTAACACTTCTCTTATTGTCTCACTGGTGAATTAATATGAAACAAAAAGGCAGACAACAGTTTCCTGAAAACACAAAAATATCAAAGAAACCTCCTTGGAGACCACGAAGCAGTAATATGGTTGTAATTCCTTGCATACGTTGGCTTGAGTTTGTTTTTGTTTTTTTAGAAAAATAATGTGCATGAATATGATATGCATATAGTGAGTAATTAGCACAGGGTGTCAGCTATTGCCAGCTTTATTTATTCCCAAAACATTTTTCATATCAATTGTTTTGGTCCAACCAGGAGTTCGTCATTTTGGGAAACACTACTATTTCTCAGGAAGTATTAATAATGATAATATTTATCAGTCTGTATGTTAAGTGAGGATGCACAGCCTCACTTTTATTACAACTGAGCAATCGAAGGTGACAGAATCGTTGTCCTCTGTGTTCATGTCTCAGGTGTCCGTGGCTCTCGGAGCGTTTCTCAGTAGCTGTGCCCATCTACAATGGAGTCATCTTCCTGTTTGTTCTGGCTAACTTCTGCATGGCCACGTTCATGGACCCCGGCATCTTCCCGAGAGGTGAGTCCATGGATGGTAGAGAGAAAAAATGTATGTATGTATGTATGTATATGTATATGTGTATGTATGTATGTATGTATGTGTATATGTATGTGTATGTGTATGTATATATATGTATATGTGTATGTATGTGTATGTGTGTGTATGTATATGTGTATGTATGTGTATGTGTGTGTATGTATATGTGTATGTATGTATATGTGTATGTATGTATATGTGTATATATGTATATGTGTATGTATGTATATGTGTATGTATGTATATGTGTATGTATATATATGTATATGT